CGACTCACAGATAACGGCCTGCCGATGGATGGGATTCTCCCACATGGATTTGAACAGATGGCTAATATGGTATCTGTTGTAGGAGAAAACAAAAAGGGAGGGATTAAACGTGTATGTAGCACATATAAAGCTTCAATAATTCGTATGCGGAATCTCTCAGTAGAAAAGCATAATAACTAAAAGAGAGCACTTAGGGGTACCTTAACGGCCTTAACGACCTGCTAAAGTTCATCTTAGGCTGTTGGCCTGCTTACCTTATAGTAAACTTATCGTAAAACTCAGTGCTTTGGCCCGTTGTCTCTACATCGACATAGAATCTCATTAAAGCGCTGACCAGGGCGTTTTGGGCCAGCTCGTGGTTCCACATCTAAACAACAAAAACTTTAGTAAATAAAACAACTCACACCATTTCGTACTCACCGCTGTGTTCACCGAGTTGGCCGGCTTCAGGGAAAACACAAACATCACCTCGACCAGCTTGGCAGTCACATAGGGATTCTTGATGAGGTGCGAGGCGCAGACACAGGTCAGCAGCCAGGTGATGATCGAGTGGTCGATGCCCTGGCGTATGTCTACGTTGGCGTGCTGCATGGTGAATAGAATGAACTCGGCGATATCGTCGATATACCATTCGGGCAGTGCAGAAAATGCATCCGAGGGCTTGAGCTGTTGCACGGGCATCTTTGAGATGAAGGGTCCCTCAATGGGGCGTCCCTCGAACTGGTAGAGCATGAATTCGCACACCGTTGAATAGAACTCCGTGCAGCGCTGGAGCAAGGCGGGATCGAGAAGGGTGATCTCGCTGCAGGTCTTGGAGCTGGAGAAAGATTTCAGTGGAGGTTAAATAAAGAGGATTAGGACTAGCGTATAATACCCACCGGTTGAGCTTACGCAGCTGCTTCTCCCAGCGCTCCTTGAACTGATTGTTGCGGTTGGCATAGCGGGAGTTGACCCAGTGGGGCTTGGTGCGGTCCAGCTCGTCGATGAGCTTCTGCAGCTCCTTGATAGCGCGCACCTTCTGCCGGTAGCGCTGGATGGCAGGCAAGTAGCCCAGATGGTGGGCCTGCAGGGTGAGGAACCAGCACTGCGTCTGGAAGTTGGCATTCTCCACCGGCTGGCTAAAGTCACGGGCCAGGAAGTTGCGATACTCCTCCTCATTGTAACGGATCTTTGTGTCCTGCTCTATGTTGACCAGCGAGTTCTTGTGGTAGTGAAAATGAGGATCAATACGATCCAGCTTTATCTTCACCGCCAGCTGCTGGAGCACGCTCATCAGGTTAATCACAAAGCCGTCGCGGGCCAGCAGCTTCTCGTCGCTGGCGAACTGAACGCGCCGGTCATTATGACGCAGGATCTTGGCAATATACTCCATCGTCTTGGCACGGCTGCTGGCATTCACACACAGCGAGTGGAACACCACGTGCATGTGGGTGCGCATCGAATGCAGTTCCCAACGCAGTCGCGAGCTAGCCGCATCCTCCAGCTTGTTCTTGGTGCTGAACTCGGCAAACTTGACGTTCTCCTCGGCGAACAGGGAGACGGAGAGAAAGGGCCCCAGGAAGCTGCACTTGACGATCTCCCGTCCCGAGATCTTGGTGCAGATGGGTGGCAGGAAGTTGGGCTGCCGGGAGACGAGGTCGGCAATGGGTCGGACGGAGCCCACCTTGATCACGACCAGCTTGGCGAGCCATTCGATCTGCTGCACGTTGATCTTGGAGGTGCAGATGTTCCGCTGCATGCCGGCAAAGAGGCCGCGCAACACCTGGCCAAAGATGGCGTCGAAGGTGTCGCCATCGGGGTGCGTGTGCACAATCAGATCGATGAGAAAGGACTCGCTCACCTTCTCCATGTACATCAGCTCGAGCAGAGCCGACTGGTCCATGTGCCAGTTGAGATTCTGGTGGATGCGGTCGGTCAGCACCAGTACCGTCATCCGCATCACGTGCTCAAAAGCGAGCTGCAGGACCGACTGGTTGGAGGGCATCTTGCGGGCGCACTCTGCCTGGTAGTTCTGATAGCAACGGATGAGATAGAGCAGCACATTGTGCTTCGTGGTGGTGACTATGCTGAGCACGGAGGGCGCTACGCAGGCTATTCCCGGCTCGCTGCTGCTGGTCGCCTCCATTGGTCCCGATGCTCCGCCAGCTGCTGCCTCCTCGCTGGGCACAGTTTGTGCCACCGCGTTGGCCAGGATTTCCTGGACTTCTGTATCATCGGATTTGATCTTTTTGGCAGACGAGAACTCTTTGTCGTCTGTCAGAACGGAGTCGCCCTCTCCCTCGTTCAGCTCATCGTTGTAAATCTTTAGGGCCGCCTCCATTAGCACATTGGACACGATGCACTCAAAGTCGAATCTCCGGCTGGGCTGCTGCTCCAGGAAGCTAGCGCTTTGCGCGCAGATGATGGAACCGCTGCCAAACTCATTCCAGGTGGCATTCAGCAGCCGGGAGAGCAGCTGTTCGTTCTGCTCGTCGACGCTCTTGGGCGGACTGCCCACCGACTCCATGGTTACTTCGGGATTCACCGGGGATATCTTGCTGCTTGGCAGCACACTCCGTTTCGTGGTCTCGTTGGCAGCCAGCAGGCTGAGAGCCGGCGTCATTTCCACGTCTTGCACTGGCGTTGAGGCAACTGACTTCATCTCCACATCCATGTCCGGCTTGCCACCCAGCTCTGGCCAAACGGTGACGGGAGCAGCTGGCTTTGGTGTGGGCAGCGAGACTACCTCCTTGTCGCTGGGTGTGGCCTCTCGGACCAGGCGAGACTCCCCCGAGACATTGGTCTGCTTGCGTGGCGTCTTCTCCGGACTGGGCGTTAGGGGGGTGAGTGTGCTCTGCAGGCCACTGCGGGCGGCCAAGGTGCGGAGGCGGCGAGCTCGCATCTACAAGATTAGGGAATGTTTTTAGAAGTTTTTTATAATATAAAAAATGATGAAATACTTGCCTCTTCAGCTGTTAATTCGGTGGCCACGGCAACTGGCTCCGCTGGCTGCTCTGCGGGTGTGTCCAGTGCTTGCAGGTGCTCCTCCTGCTGCTGCGCTCCCTGTGCCAGCTGCGGCTGCTCATCCTCTACCTGATCCTGATCCTGATCCTGGTCCTCATCTTCCTCCTCCTCCTCCATGGGCTTTTGTGGCGGCTCTTCTTCCGGCATGGCTCTGTTGATCCGTTGGGAAGCACTACGCAGTTGCTACGAAATGGCTTTTTCTCTCTCTCTGTTATTGTTTGTTTGTTGCGTAGTTTTCCTCCTGCGAACCAGCCAAGAGGCGGTGATGATGTGGGTTAATGAACCAAACAAAAGAGAGAGAGAGAGTGCCAAGAGCGGCACGCGCGCAGGCAACAAATAAACAACAAAATCCAGCGGTCAACGTCAAGTTCAAGACAAGACAATGCCGCCAGATCACAGCCAGAATGGATGGATGGAATCCATCGCTTTGTCATGAACTACGCACTATGTACATGTGGGCATGTCGCAAGGGCAGGACAACTGACCTGCCGCAAAAGGCAGGCAGACGCACCACACCGTCCGAGGTTGACAGCGGCAGACAAAAAATGCACTGCTGCAACTATTTATAGCAGCAGAAAACCAGAAAAGACAGCTGGGGGATGCTGTGGGGATGCGCCCAGTCAAGTGCAGTAAACAATATCATAACACACACGCGCAATTCGGGGGTATAAACCTTATATAATGCAAGCCGATCGGGCTAATAGAGTTCCCTCCTCCACCCCTCCCCAAAGAGAAGAGTACACAAAAACCACCGAGATATATAATCGGACATAAGGGTGACTGAGTGAGTGACTGGGCGGAGGTGGAGTGGCTAGCGGAGAGGGTACACATTGAGGCGAGGGCGGGGGCAGTGCACTTACCTGGCTGACTTTCACCTGCGAAACCAATTGTTTATGTTTCGGCCTTTAACTATTGCATATTACTGCCAAGCCTGGCCGCTAGAAGCTCTGCCCAGACTTCCCGTTCCGTGGTGCAAATCCCGAACAAAACAGACGTCGACTGCGCGACTACGCCACTGGTGACCAAGCAAAATTTCTCTTTTGTTCCGATCCGAGCTGGGTTATCGCGTCCCTGCTGGCTATATCACCTCCGTCCGACTGCGGCTGTTGAGACTGACAATTAACTAGCAAAGTGCCAAGTTCAGCTATGTGGCATACGTTGGGACTGAGCTCTAAACTAATTTTAATTTTATTTTTTTTGGTTTTCGCGTCCGTTAGCAGCGTGACCGCGCCGGACAGATCGAAATATACCATTTATCGAAATCGCGATATTTTTATTTGGTGTTTTTTGATATTTTTTCCTTGGTCACTCTAAATTTCAAAGTCTGGTACTACCAGAGTTGCCAGATCGTCAATGTCCCAGCGACCAAAAGTGCCATCGTTTCGATGCAGCTGCTATCGATATATTTAGAAACGATTACTATTTCCATTATGCTTTCACTTCATTATAAAACGTATCCACTGCATCTACATTTTGCAGTTTTGCACTTTAATGTAGGTCTTTTCTTGATTTTAAGGGAATTTTAAAATATGGGGTTGAAAAATTAAAATAGGGAACCTTGAAAGCTGCCATAAAAATGGCAATAATTAAAAATAACCTCGATTTTTTAAAATTCAATGATGGCTTAATGTTTTGACTTCGACGAAGTAGCCGTTTCGTTAATTTAAAAAGACGCTTGGAGAGTTTTTCTTTACTATTAATGTTTTAAGATATGATTGATATTCGTGTTCTGATATAGAAAATATTACAAATGACGTATGCATTGAATTTAATGCATTTTTGGCTCATGTATTAATAATTTAAATTTTAAATTGCCAAAAAATTATGATGATATAAAAGAATGGAAATATTTATTTAAAGAAATTAAATATTTCCAGTCCCATTGATACCTATGATCATATCCCAAGGACAACCAGTTCCGATCCGGTCGATTTTCAATAACGATTCCATTGTTCTGCACAATACCTCGCTGCCTTTGAAATAAAATCGTAGCTGGGTTCTTTTTGTTCAACAAAAGAAAATCATTTTACTTCATTTTACAAAAACTTTACAATTATATGGAACCTAATCAAAAGCCTAGAACCTAAGCAGCCGCTACTAAAAATCCGTGTATCGCTGTCGCAAACTTTGCCTTTTGGCCACGTGATGCATCTGTGAAGGCAAAAAGAATTACAAAACCATGGTTAAGGATGCTTAAAGGATAGCACTAGCTACTAACCAAACGCTGTTGACGGCGCTCGCGATTCTTTTCGTAGGCCTTCAGCAGGGTGGGACACGTGCGCTTGATGAACTCCTCCGATTTCCAAAAAAGTCCGCCCTGGTTTTCGTAGCGCAAAAGGAATTCCACCTGCAAGTGATGATGATTGTTTAATGAAAAACTTAAAATATTTAAATCAATAATGTAAACATGCCTTTCCCGCCTTTGTCTCCTTGCCCAGAACACGCTCAATGCCATTCTCCGGCTTGACGTGTCTGTAAAAGTCGTCATCCCGGTTCCCCGGCACCACCTCCTCTTCGTAGTCGGTGTTATGATCCGGCATGTCCTCGATGCTGAGGAGTCCGTCCTGCGGTCGTTCGCCGTTCTGCTCAATGCGCCTTACGAACGTCAGCGGATGCTGCTTCAGGTAGTCCTCCGCCTCGGCGATTGTCTTGGCTAGATCGAACTCCTCCTCTGGCTCTTCCTCTTCCTGGTCATCGTCGCATTCGGCATCATCCGCCTCACCGTCGAGATCCATAGCATCAGACGAGGCGCCGGCGGACGACGAGGCTGCCCGTTTGGTCTGTGCGGCGCGTCGCTTCTTCTTTACCCAATTGCCGCCGTCGTTCTCCTTGACGTCCGGATGAAAGCGCACCTTTTTCACGCGGCCTGACGACGACGAGGTGGACTCGTCTGTGGAGGAATTGTTGAGAGCCTGCGGCTCCAGTAGGCTGCTGCTGCTGGAGGCAGATGTGGATGCGGATACTGATACTGCTGCTGGTGTGGAGGCGGGGGCGGCGGAGGCTGCGCCTGCTGAGGTCTCTGCCAGCGTGGTCTCTTTGAGGTTCTGTGAGATAAGCTTGACTTTCGTCTCGAAGGCAGTGCAGACAGTGGACGACGAGTTGCTGGCCGGACGAGCGCCGGGGGACTGGCTACTTTCCGGACTGTCGCCCTCTCCCCGCGCCCCCGGCCCAGCGTCAGTCTTTTGGTCCTCCTGCTTGCCAGCTGTAGCTCCCGTTCCGGCTGCGCCCTTGGCTGCCTTTGCCTTGCCCACCTGTGACCCCGTTTCGGCAGCGGAATCCCTGCTGCAGTTGTTCAGCGCCTCGCGCTCGGGCGAAGCGTCAACTGCGTCCACGGTGGAGCCCGTTGTCTCCACCATCACACACTTTATTTGCATAGATTTGTCTAGCGAATCACTGCCAGCCGAGTCATCGTTGGACTTGGTATCCATGTGGCTGTGGCTCCGGGTTCTCCGCGTTGGCTATCGTTCGTTTATATTTACTGCTACAGACTAATTTCGGTTAAATGCATCGCAATTTCAATTAATTGTAATCTTTCATAAAAATTTTGTTGCTTTCCACTCAGTGTGACCGTTGCTAAATCTTTCAAATATACCACCTAGTGAAAAATACCGAAATCTACATTTAATTAATATTATGAATTGTTTTTTGACTTAAGGCAATTAGGCACTTAAATTATAAGCAAATTTCATTAAAAGCTTTAGTTTTTATTGTTGCTAACATAGCATAGACACCAAATGAACTAATGAATTCAAAGATCTAGTATATTAAATTTTTTCACTGTCGATAACGATTACAATAACGATTTTATTTGAACTGCCAACTTGATGTAAATTTCAAAAATGTATCTTAACCGGGAGTTCAAAACATTTAAATAAGACTGTTAAATTCAAATAAGCTTTTTATAAAATACAAAGGAAGTTTCAAAAACCCCTTCGATATTGTAATGGCTTTTAACGCCATTTATAAAGTTTTGTAATTGTTATATTAAATATAAGTAAAAGCATTGAATTGTAAATGCAACTTGTGTGTATTCCTTTTTATTTGATTTCTTTATTAACAATTGTTTTTTGTACATTTTTTTCTCTTTTGTAATTTAATGCCGTAAATCTTCGTGTGTGTGTGTTGGTGTCTGTGTCAGTGTATTGTGTGTCTGTGTGTGCGTAGTAAACAAAACTAAGTTATTTACACTAAGCTTTAAGTTTAAATGTAGTTCAATGTTAAGGACTATTTTAATATATAATAATATATTGTGTGTATAGATATCGTTTCGATATAAGATGTATATATGCATATCAAAGGCGGTTTGCAGTTTTTTTTTTTTTTTTTTTTTTATACCCAAGTAAGTTTTTCTGTATACACTTTACGCTTGTTTAACTTCTGGTTTTTGATTTGCTTCTTGTTTAAATATTCTCTTTCTTTTGTTTGCTTTAAACTATTTAAATATATGGCCCCGCTATTCCACATGTGTGTTCTTTTCCGTTGCTTAGAGTTTATGATAACATTTTGTTTGTTTTGTAGTGTTGCTTATGCCTACACTGTGCTACAAAGAAAAGCTGCTGGAGGTTGAAAAACAATTAAAGTAATAATAATGATAATAATAATAATAAGAACAAAATCTAGAAATTATATACTAATTTTAACCGTGTGCTGCACTTGTACAAAACATAATATTGCAAATATTGCAAACATTTCCCTATTCTCTCGGTTTTGAATTGCCTTTTAAATTGTGTGTTTCTTCTAGCAGCAGCTGTGTGTAAATATATATATGTATAGATTTAGATATAGTATGTATATAGTACCATATTCATTGCATGATATACACGATTCTTCTTTAATTTTTTAGTTTTTTTTTGTTTTCTTCATTTACAATTATCAATAATCACAGTTCCCATTCAAAATAAAAATTAAAAAAAGCAAGATTTAATTTGGAATTTCTCTTTTTTTCGGTTCTTATCTACAAATGTATTTCTTTGAAACGCTTTTGGATCTCTTGCTCGTATGTTGGGTTTTAGGTTCTTGTTACACTTTACTTAATTAGCCAATATTCTATACTATGTAGTTTTCTCTCATTCTGTTAATTTACACGTTACAATTAATTTAAATTACATTTTGCACCTTTCTAGCAATTAATTACGCAAAGAAATTATTTATAAAATATTCGAATTGTTTCTCTATAAATTATATGAATAACTAAGGACTAACTTAGGGCCTAAAGAAGATTTTAAGTGCAGGAACATGTTCCAACTAGGTGTGTGTGTGTGGGTGTGTTAGTGACAATAGAAAACCCTTTCAAAGGTGCCCTAAAAACGAATCCCAAACTCCACAAACTCATACCAAAAAAAAAAAAAAGTGAAAACAACAACAAAATATTAACAAAACCAAAACTAAATTAAAGTTAAAAAATAAGTTAAGCCTAGGTGTAGTTTTTGATTAAAGTTAATAAAAGGTTCGGCCTTTTGGAGACGGCCTACTTTCTGGAAATGACTTTGCCCGTCTTGGCATTGACCAGTATCATTTTGTCCGGTGTTGGGGGTCGTTCCTGGGCCGGCAACTCCTCCGAATGGTTGGCACTTCCCCGCAAGATCCTGCGGCGCAGGCGATCACTGATGTTCTCGCTTTTCAGCGACTCCGAGGCGGCGGCGGTCTCCTCCTGGGAGGAAGAAGGAGGAGGCTTCACACTCAAGTTGCCATCGCTTTTGTAGAGAATCAACTTGGTGCTGGGCTTCTTGGTGGGCGGCTTCTCCTCGGTGGCTTCCTCACCTGCAGCTCCTGGCTGCTCTGCTTCTGAATTGGTATGCTCCTCCTGCTGCACATTGGCGTTCATCACATTGTCCTGGTTGTTGTTGTGCTCCGTTGCCTGTGGCTTGGACTCGACGGAATCCTCCGGCTCCTGCTCCACACTGATCTCCAGCTTGTCGTAGCAGGTGAAGAACTCCACGGACTTCAGTTTCTCACTGGCATTGAAGTGCAATGCTGTGTGCTCCTCCAGCTCGGACTCCTCCTTGGCATTATAATCACAGTGGGCGCATTTCTGGCCATTTGGCGGCGGCGGATTGACGCAGGCATGTTTCTGGAGATGCTGCTGCAGCTCCTCGTGCCGCTGTGTCTCGAAGGGGCAGTGGAGACAACGCTCGGGTGCCGAAGCGGACTGGGGCATGTCCATGGAGCCGGCATCACTGCTGGCATCGGCCGCCAGGTCACTGGTGGCCACCGAGGCGCTGGTCGAAGGCGTTGAGGTGCTACGCCGCTCTTCATCCTCCTCGGGGGCTTCCTCTGTGCCTTTCTGGGGTGAATCATCATCGTTGTTTTCCCGGGGAATGGCACCCACCTGACCTCCGCCCGATTCAAGCTGCTTCTTGAGCAGCGAGTTCTGGTTGTCGTAGCTCCCGGTCGAGGAAGTGACTCCCTCACCAGTGGTCTGTTGGAGCAGCTGCAGGCTGAGCTCATTGTCCACCACCCAGATGGTCTCGGGACCGGTCAGCTGCAGCAACTTGGGTGCCGGATACTCAACATCCTCCTTGCAGTTTTTGTACAGCTGCTGGCACTTCTCCTGATAGTGGGACATGTGCACAGCTCTGTGCAGCTGCAACATGGTTTCCTCTGCGGTGCGATACTCACAGTAGGCACACACATAGCTCTGGTCCAGATCCATGTCCTGGTCGCTGTGGGCCAGCAAGTGCTGCTCCAGCTCCTGCTTGGCGTTGCGTTCGTCGTTGTGCTTCTGAGCGAAGCGGGCGGGACACCGAGGGCAGTAGCTGATCAGCTTGTACTGGTACTCCGGCGGCAGTTGCTGCGGATTTAGCTCGGCGTCCGAGGCAGCTGCGTCCAGTTGCAGCTGAGACAGATCGATGGACAGCGGCGTGGAGGCGGGCAGTTGCTGCACCTGCTTGGCGGCGGCTGCCAACTGGAGGGCCACGCTAAAGTCCAGACCCAGCGAGGGAGAATTGGCGGCAGCTCCTCCTGAGGATGCTCCTCCGGCTGTACCCATCTGCTGCTGGTGGACACTCCTCATGTGGCTGCTCAGGTGCTGCTTCTTGGCGCACACAAAGGTGCAGAGACGGCACTCATACTGCGTGGGCTTGTGCAGGGACACATGGTAGTTCATCTGGGACTTGCTCTCCGAGATGTAGGGACACACCGGGCATTTTTGCTGCTTGCTCTTGGTATTGTTGTTGTTGTGGTTGTGGCCATGCTCTGCGGCCGAGGGCAGCCGCGTGATCTCGATCTGGTCGTTCTGTTGCAGTTGCAACAATTCCTCAGCGTTTCCGCCGTTGGCCACTGCCGCCTTGCAGGCAGCTGCCCAGTAGGCGGCCGCTGCCTGGAGATCCTGCTGGGTATTGGCAGCATTCACTACGGCCGCGGCGCTGGCGGAGAGTGGCGAATGAAGGAGCTGTTCCAGCTGCTTGGTGGTCATCAGAAGCTGAGCGCTGTTCGGGTTCGTATTGCCGGACTTCAGATTTGTGTTGATGGTGCTGGGATTCGACGGGATGTGGGACTGGGATTCATTGCTGGCACCTGCTCCCAAAGGCCGGTAGATGGGCGGTGCACTGGCTGAGACACTGGCTCCGCGCTCAAGGGTCTCGATCCGAATATCCCCGGAATGCTTTAAGCGACAGTGCCGCTGCAGATGGGAGAAAAAATCAACAATTAGTACCTTGAATTTGTTAATTATATTAATCGAGTGTCCTTCTGTCTTTATGTATGTATGTATGTTCGTGGGTGTGTAAGTGTGTGTAGTGTGTGGGTGTGTTGTGTATATGTGAGTGTTTATGTATCCTTTTTCAAGGCAAAAATAACCATGAGTTTAGCCCAATCGAAAACCCTCGCACCGTAATGGGAATCCCTCAGAGGTTAGCTTGGTTTTTAATTATATTTAGGTTTCATGGTGTCATGGGTTTGTTTTTTTTTTTTCATGATTTATCGAATTTATGGATTACATTTAGTTCGAGGTAAATAAAGAGACAGAGAGCAAGCAAGACTTTCACCAATGATTTTCTTATAGTTAATCGTTTATCATATATATGTAGGGTACAACAAAAGCAAGACCAGACACCACACATATGTATTTAAACAGACAATCGACAAGTATCGATTATTAATCGGGTAATCGGGAATAATAAAATATCGGGGGGTACAAAATTGACTTTGCATATTTACCAGCGCAGCGCAGGGACTACGGACACAGATGGATTTTGGTGAGATTTTGATGACGAAAGGTGACGGATCGGGGACGACTGCTAAAGCTCACAGGGGTTATCATCGTTGGGGCTTAACTAGCCAGGACTGATATTTTGACGGTCTTTTAAGATTTAATTTTTTACTTCAAATAACCAGCATTTTTTTTTTTAAGTTAAAAACTTTTTACTTCTGAGTTTCTACATAGGTAGTGTTATGTAATAAGATTTAAAGCTACTTTTAGAGGTATTTTTTTTAACACATAAAGGCTTTTGAATTTTAAATAAATTTATGAAAGGTTTTTAAAACATAAGACCTTATTTGTTTTTAATTTTCATATAAAATCAAAGCTATTAAGAATGAGTATTTTCTCCCAAAATGTACCTCCTTTTAAATCCCCAATCTTGTAAAGATCCTCTCGCCTAAAATTCTTCTGGCTTCTCGAAAAAAGGGGTCTTTTCGATCAAAAACGAAACTTTTGGGGGATCGGCGGCGGCTTGTTTCGGTTTTTGAATGGGACAAAACACAAAACCATTAAAGTGCACTGGGCCATACCTGGATGACATGCTTCCAATTCGACACCTGGTGGCAGTGGCCGCAGCGATACGGCGACGGGTCGCGTCGATCGCCATCGGCCATGGTCAGGAGGCCGGGACTACCTGGACTATGGCTATGGAATCTCGTCTGCGGATGCGGCATCTGTACGGCCACTGGAGTCAGCGCCTGTGCCTGCTGCTGCTGCTGTTGGTGTTGCTGCTGTTGCTGGGCCATCGCTGCCAGGTAGGAAGATGACGCTGGCGGCGGCGGTGAAGATGTAGTGGAAGAGGAAGAGGCGGATGCAGAGCCCGCAGCCGATGAGATGGAGGCCACCGAGGATGCTGACGAAGAGGCAGACGCAGACGCAGACGAAGACGACGACGACGACAACAACGGCGACGACGATGACAGGGGAAAGGAGTTGGGATTCTGGCTATGGCTGGGATTATTGGTTGCTGTTGTGTTAGTGGCTATGGAGGAGTGGGCATGAGTTAGACCCGCTGCCAGGTGATGTGGTGGAGTGCAGGCATGTCGCTGGCTGTGATTGTGGGATGAGGAGGATGATGGGGATGAGCCCGCACCCAGTTGATGAGCCAGGGACTTGGAAAGAGCTGATGGTGTGGCAGTAGAAATAGGAGTAGGAGTGGTAGTTACTGGCAGAGGCGTTGATGCATTGGGTGTTGTGGTATTGTTGGTGTTGTTGTTGGTGGTGGTGGCGGTGGATGAGGCGACGTAGACGGCATCCTGCCGGAGGAGTCCATTTCCCACAACCGAGTTACTACTGTTAGCGTTAGAGGGATGATGATTTCCATTTCTGGCGCTGCGCGGTGAGGTGAGCAGATCCTGCAGCGATCTGGCGGTGTCTTTGGTAGTGCTAGTGGTGGCTTTGGTACTCGTATTGGTGGTGGTGGTGTTCGGCGACGTCAGACTGTCGGCACTTGCCTCGTTTTGACTCGCTTTCTGCTCACCATGCTCTAAAATGGAGGCGGCACTGGCTTTCGTCGTATTGGCTTGTGGCTTCCCGCCCGCCAACGCCAGAGCGAGCCCGCTCAGAGCGCTATCGTTGGGCGTCGGTGTGAGGTTTTGGGCCTCCTGGATGGCCCGCTGCAGCAGTCCAGCCGGTATGGCCGGACTGGATCCTGGCGAGCCCGAACCCGGGGAGCCCTGTGACTGCGACAGGCACATGGCGGCGAAGACCTTGTTCATGTAGAACTGCGGATTACCGCCCACGGACACCTGCAGCGGCGAGGTGCTGCTGGCGGCGGAACTGGACTTGGGATAGCTGGCGTCTTGATAGTGGATCTTCACATGCGCCAGCACAGCATCCCGGTTTTGATGGCTGCACAAAATAATTACATTTAATATTTTTCTATTAAATACCCGATCCCAATACTCACCCAAAGTTGCATTTCCGGCACCGGTAGACGGTCCTCTTCTCGTTGCCCTCCTGGTGCACCTCGGTGATGAGATCGTCGCTGGGCTTGCCCTGCAGCCCCGATCCCTGGTTCTGCCGCTTCACCGGCGATATGGTCACCGAGGGCGTGATCATGGTGGACTGGTGCTCCTTCTGCTGTTGCTGCTGGTGCTGCTGCTGGGCCATCGCTGCATTCATCATGGTGGCCAGCAATGGGATGCGTATGAGATTATCCGCCAGATGGGCATCGTCCAAGGCACTCGGCTTGCTTGGCAGCACAGGCTCCAATGTGATGTCCTGGCCCGTCACATTGCCCACCTTGGCATAGTCCTTGAGGAAGGCCAGCGAGGCCACCTGATTGGGTGTCATCTCGCCGGATTTCATCAGCTTCGGGTCGCCATCCTCCTCGGTGACCTTCATTAGGGTTATGTACTTGTTGTACTTGGTGTAGTTGCGACGTCCCGTCTCATCGTTCATCAGCACCTTGGCGGTCTTGTGCGAGGGATCACGGATGGTCTTCAAGCGGATGTGCTTGGTGATGTCCCAGCGCCAGTTGGAGCGGTACGAGCAAAGGGAGCACTCAAAGGGCTTCTTATTGAGATGGCCCACGATGTGGACATGGAAGCGGGAGGCTGTGGAGGCCCAAAAGCTGCAGTGCGGACACTTGTAGACCTTCTTCAGGGACGAGTTGGCGGCCTCCTCCTCGGGCGTCATCTTTTTGGTTACCTGCAGTGCGTGAAAGAGTCAAATTTCATTTTGACGTGGCATATGCTTGTGCTGGGGTCGAGGATGGGGGTTTAAAATAAGAAAACTAAGTCTGGGAGGTCCCTAAATCCCTATCCTTTTTAGAGTTTACTTGTTTTGAGGTTAAAAAACGCAAGAATTAAAAAAAAAACATCTCAAATCAAAGGATCTTCGTGTGGTTTCAGTGCTTAGTGGAGTCCGGACTTACCTCACCGTAGCCGGGCGCCGTTTCCACTCCATAGTAGCTGTTCTCCTCGTTGCTGGTTCCCTGACTTCCAGCCGGGGATTTGACCAGACTCTTGCTGCTGTTTTCCTGCTGGACCGCAGCAGCGCAAGCGGCGGCAGCTATCTCCTTGGCTGCCTTATTCCAGATGCAAACTCGCTGCTGCTGGACGGCAGCCTGTTGCTGCAGGCTCTTCGAGTCTGGACGGCGCTCGCCACCGCTCTCGCCGGAATTCGAGTCGTACATTTCGTTGGCACAACGAATGGCTTCGACACACTGCGTCAGGTGATGCAGCAGGTCCGTGGAGGACTTGCAACGGTGTCGACAGTGCTGGCAACGCGTTGAACCCGTCACGCTGAGATTCAGGGCAGAGTGGGACTGATGGTCATCGTCATCCTCATCGATTTCCAGCCGATCGTCGGCATCGTCTTCGTGGAGTCCGGCATCGTCGTCGTCAATGATCACGGCGGAGGCATGGCAGGACTTGCCATGGATGATCGACTCCGAGAGGCATTTGGCCACGTGGCCGCATTGGCAAACCAGGTTCTCCTGATGTGCCCCCGTCTTCAGCTTGTCCATGAAGCTGGACTTCCTGGTTAACTGGCTGCGCGAAGAGTTGTGCGAGGCCACCGTCGTCGCTGGGGACAATTGAGGGACATCCGACTTGTCCAGCATCTCCGAGATTTGCTTCTCATTAAAGAACATGGAGGCGATTTCGGTGAGGGAGCTGCGCGAGGCATTGGTCTCCTTGGACAGGTTCAAAATGCTAAGGTAAGGAAAAACATTTAATAAAACATGCTTAAAACTCCTCAAGTGAGTACTTACTCCTTGGGTCCCTTGCTGATCGGTATGAGATTGGGCATGGCTCGCTGGGCCCGCGGCGTGGTGGTGCCCACGCTGGAGGTGTCCGAGGAGCAGCCGCCCTTCTGTGACAGATCAGTGGGCTCCTCCTCGTCGTCGTACTTGCTTCGCTTTCCATAGTGCTGGTGATGATGCAGTGCCTGCTCCTCCCCGCCGCTCATCGCCTCGTCCACATCCTCTACGGCGTCCAGATCGTCATCCACATTGTTGTTATTGTACTGATCCTCCAGTTCGGCGGAATCGCTTAGGAAGTCGTCGCACATTTCACTGGCTCCAACCTTGTTCTGGCGCCGGGGCCAAATGGAGCCGGCATTACCCACCGGCGGCACATGGTGGTTCATCTCATGCACCGTCAGCGACTGCTTGATGTCGGCGGTAAAATCGCAGGCGGCACACTTGAAGGCACCGGCACCGCCATGGTTCTTCATGTGCCGGTCCAGATTCCACTTGTAGGGCGTGCGGAAGTCGCAGGTGACGCACTTGATCATGGGCATCGAGTGGTACTTGACGTGCTTGCTGAACCGCGCCTTGATGTGGGTCACATAGCTGCACTTGTCACAGCGGAAGAACTTGGTCTTGCCGTGCTCGGCCAGCTCGTGGGCCCGCAACTGGGTGCGGTAGAGGGTGGTGAACTCGCAGGCGCTGCATTTGAGCAGCCGATTCTGTGGCTCTTCCCCATTGGACGGGGGCGTGGCAGAGCCGCTGGTGGGCGAGGGCGTGGGCGGTTCGGCGGGCGACTGGCGTTCGTAGTCGCGCAGTACTTGCATCTGTCGCTCATACGCACTGGTGGCCACCATCTCCAGCTCCCGCTGCTGCTGTTCACGCTGCTGCTCCTCCTGCTGACGCTGCTTAAAGGCCTGTATGTCTCGCTGCAGCTTCTCCTCCTGCAGCAACAGCTCCCGCTTCACCTGCTCCAACGTGGGCACATCGGGCACCGTTACCGACAGCGACTGGCCGCCCATCACGCCCACGCTCTCCTCGAGGCGTCGCTTGCGCGCCTCTCGGCTCATGCCGCGCTTGCCCCGTGCCTGGCCATGGCCGCTGGGTATGCCATCCGTGCAGCCATGCACCATCTTCATGTGCCGCACCAGCTTCTGGAAGTGGCGAGAGGCATACAGGCAGAGCTTGCATTTGTTGATCACAATCTTCTCGCCGTGCACGTCGCGCAGATGCGTCAGATGGTAGCGCGGGTTCTGGGTGAAGTAGGCGCAGTGATTGCAGCTGTAGTTCCGCTTGATCTTGCACTGCGGCAAGCCCTCCTCCTTGGCGTCCAGGCTGATGACCGCCTGCTGTTGTTGTTGCTGTTGCTGTTGCTGCTGCACGCTGTTTACAACAGCTGCTGCGGCGGCCTGTTGCTGCTGTTGCAGCAACTGCTGAAGCCGGAAACGCTCCACATGACGCTCTAGGAGCGATGAGCTCACCTGGGAGGCTGGTGTGTTGCTTCCGGCATTGTTGTTGCCACTGCCATTGCCGCTGTTGCTGGCGATAAGGTTGGCTATGTTGCTCATGCTGCTGGCGGCCGAATTGTGATGATTCTGTCCCTGTTCGGTGTACAGCTGATTACCGCTGACCACACTGCGCACGATGAGCGTATCCCCCGAGCGCTGTACCATGGACGGCAGGTCCATGACGCTGTGGCAGCTACTAGGTCCTGGTTGGACGATGTCCTAGTTAACTATAAGGAGAACAAAAGGGATTTCCTGTTAGTTGTGGTTGCCAATGTATATATCTTGTTGGTTATTTGAATAATGAATGCAAAATCATGAGACAATTAGGGTTGCAAAATCCAGGTTGCAAAACCAATATAATTACATTTTGGCCACAATTTTGTGACAATTATGTATATGGAGTTTGGAATTGCATCACAGTCAATGTTGTTGTTGAATAATTTATGACAGTAATTAGGGTTTGAGTTTGTCTGAAGCCGATAATATTTATTGTATTTAAAGGAAGATAAGATTTTCTTTTTGGGTTTCTCTTTACTTGTTTTTGTAAATATAATAGTAATACAAATTAAATTAATCTTTATTAATACAAATAAATTATATTTTTAAAGCCTGTTAAGGGCTTTTCATCCTTTTTCGTTTATAGGATATTAAAAAAGATGGAATGTCGGCTACGGAACGGAGGAAATTAAATCCCAAATGCGATACAAAGGCTGCCGTAAATGCAGATTTCAACACTTGGCCAACTCATTACACATACATTAACGCACAGGGCAAACACATGAATAGCAAGCGGGTAAATGTGTGTGTGTGTAAGTCTCATAAATATTTTCACATAAATTTTCCCTCAGATATACTCCCCCCCCAGTGAATACCGCCCCACCCCCTCCCCAGCGATTATCAACAAAAGTTGTTTCGGGTTTTCCAACTTCCCTTGCAGGATATTAAAATGAAATGTTTTCTCTTTTTCTGTCCGCCAAAAATGCGACAAAAGTAGCGTAAAATCAACAGGGAAGTCAGCCGGGGAAATTGGGCAAGGGATAATGGAAAATCATTCGAGAGTCCTGGGAAAGGCAAGAGCAAACCGGCAGAACTTGAGAGCTTCTCGCTCAACAAATCTCGAAGGTAAATGTATTGTAGTTTGTGCGTAACACAAATCCATTTTAAGGCTAATTGGAGTTGGCCAAGTTGAAAAGGGAAGCTGAGAGGAGGAGCAGACGGCTGACTAAGGGAGCTGGAAAATTTCAGATACACAGACACACACACACACACACACATAAATAAAAGGCCAAGACCCAATGAAGGTCAACCTTTTTGCATGAGTGAATTTTGGGGAGCCTTCACCGCTTTTCAGCACACAAAACTCTTCCCCGGATTCCTGGCTAATCCTTGGGGTGTCGTTTTTATCAAATGCAGTAATTTTGCTTTTTAAGCGTTTTTTATTGCCCGCTCGTAGCACCACATGGGCGAGTGTGTGTGGGTGTGCTTGGGTATATGTCTGTGTGTCTAACACCCCCATAAAAACCGCAATTGTGTTTTGGCTTAGACAAGGCAGAAAAGGGGAGAAAAAACGAAGCAATTTGATGGAGCATCTCTCTGGTGTCATCATTTAAGTAACATATTTAATTATATAAAAAAAAAGAGGGAAGAGAGATAGCGCGGAAAATACATTAAATCACACACGCGAAGAGATGCAGAGAGACAAATAAGTGAGCTAAAAATGTATTTAAATTCATGAATATTTTATAAATTTTTAAATGGTAAGTATTCAGACCTCTTTTAGCCTTTAGATTAATGCATAAATTAGCTCTTTTAAGCTCTGTATAGTACCGAATATATATATTTTTTATTGCAGAAATTTAAGCAAGCTTTATACCCCATTTTTTTCCTGTGTAAGCATACATCTCTCACACAGACTTAGGCCCATGCGTTTGCCTGTGTACTCTTGACATTCAAAACGTTTATTGTCGCAGAGCAACAAGCTCATCATCCTTCCCAGCAGCCGAGCATCCCTGCAGCCCATCATACCATCATCTCTACATCCTACATCCTCATCAGCGTCAAGGCGGAACTCATTAACAGAGGCGTCCAAGTGTGTGTGCGTGTGTGCGTATGTGGGAGTGGTTAGGAGACTGGTTGTATTCAGGGTTGGAAGGACACTTTATAAAGGTATGCAGGAGTCACTGCTAACGATCACTCAAAAAGCTAAATGTCACTTGGGGTCGGTCAAAAGGATTAAAATTGCTTCACTTGCCTCGGCCAATAAGACATTAATACTGAGTGGATTATTTTAAAATTAAATATTAAATTAAAAACCAATAGAGTCCATGTAAGTCATAAAAAAAAATCTTCTAGGCAAAGTTTATATTAAGTTATTTAAGGATTTATGCTAAAAGTTTGTTGATTGATTTATTGAATGAAATTCAATTAAAAGTAATATAGATTAATGTATTTAATACCTTTTTTAACCTGACTTCCGCTAAAGAATAATTAAATATAAATTCACCAGCCAAGGCACTTCCTAAAATAATTAAATATCCTGGATATTTTGTAAAGATAAAAGCTTATTTATGAGGGTCTGTCTTGACTCGCTACACAGTCACTGTTTTATGAAGCCCTCGTCGTTCTGGACAGGATCACCTTATACTTATGCATTGTTGACGCCGCGCTTATTACGGAAGCAAAGGAGGCGAGTACGATGGTGCTGCTGCTGCTTCCTGCTTATTTGCCTTTGTTTATGTTTGGTTTTTGTTATTTTTGATGTTTTCCTTTTGTTTTTTTTTGCTTTTCTCAGTTTCCAGTTTCCAGTTTTCAGATGTTGGGTCTGTGTTCTCTTCTTGTTGTTCTTGGCTGGGTAAATACGCACACACGTACACAACCTGCTTATGCGGCAACACGTTTCGCTTTGAAATTTTAATTTCTCACGCGACGCCAAAAAGTATGCTACGAAGGATAAGGCAAGGAAAGGATGTTTCGCGGGGTTGGGTCTTGTTTTCTTGTTTCCTCTGCCGCTGCAGCCTACGCGGACTTAATTAATCTCGCTGTGAGCTTAGCCTGTTGTCCTGGCAATCCTCCCAGTTATCCCTGTTATCCCCCACTCTTTTTTTCGCCCATTTTGACGCTCTAAGACTTCTTTTCTTCGGTTTTTAGTCTGTTTCTGTTGGGCCTTTTCTGTTTTTTCGGCGATAATGAGGCGACAGTGGAAAGCCTTTTTCTGGGGTTTTTGCTTGAAACTGTTGAGCGTTGGCGAGTTTGATTGATGGTTCTGGGGGACAACTGGGTTGGCTTGTTAGCTTTTTGTCATTACAATTAAAATTCAGGCATTTACAATTATATATTAAATCAATATGAGGGAAATGTGGGTTTTAAAAAGTAAATAGAAAGTTTAGAAAGTCAAAAACTAAAGATAGTTGAGGTATTTTAAATGTGTTGCATTTTTAACAACATCACCTATAACAACCTTAAGTTGTGTTATAAAAATAAGGTAAATATCAGCACAATTTCGTATTTTCAGCGATTTAAATGCCCAACATCTTGTTCGAATTTTCGCAGCTTAATTGGCACTGCAATCGTTAAGGTCCTGTGGATCGAGTGGCGTCCTTGTAGCCAATTTCCTTGTTTGGTCATTTGGTTGCCAGCCAAGAGAGAGAGAGTGAGTGCGGAAAGGGAAGTGTGGCGACCGGAAACGGGAGACGGAAAACCGTGTTGTTGCTACAAATTAACTGCAAACTGCAGAGAAGTAAATAAGAAACCTGCCAAGAGGCAAGGGGAGAGATTTCGAAAAGGGTCTGAAAATGTTTATTTATCATCAATTTGTTTATTCGATGGCAACTAACGCTTTCGATGTGCACCTCCCCATGGCGGCACTGGCCATTCCATTTTAATTTCATGATCCGTTCGACAGGAAGTTATCGCCTGGTTTATGGCCATGCGAATGGTACGAAAAATGTAATAACAGACCTCGTAAAATGGGAGAAGCGCAGTCGGGAATAAAAGCCAAGTTAATAATTAACACTGTCCTTAAAGATTTCAACCTCCTTTAAACGTAAATAGTCTCTTTAAAATCGGAATTTAAATGGCGCCCGCATTTAAGTTTTAAAAGAAAATCATCTCAAAATAAAGTGGAAAATAAGTTGGGACCGAAAACTTTTCTCCAGCTAGGCTCTTAGGTGCTATTACTTAAAGATTCTGTTGCCATAACTAAGACCGTCGAGGCAGTCAAAACTTTTACACAACAGTCAGCCACTTTTCATCCTTTTCCCCCTAAGCAGCCTGCTTAAGATAAAGACAGAAATTTAGCAGCAAGCGAAGCTTTTATATTGCCTTCACATAAATCTCAACAAACGTCAAAGTTTATTTCGCATTTTTGAAATTAAATAAAGATTTGTCACGTAGAAATCCGTTTCGGTGAAAGTCACCCACACATATTGGCAAATCACTAGCAAAGACACACACTCACACCCATGAGACAGCAGCATACGGGAAAACTGCCACGCTTTTCTTTACTTTTCCTAGACAAATACCAAGGTCGAAACTTTGTCTACTCCGATTTCTTTTGGTTTTTTTTTTCTAAGGAGTTTAGAGTCTGGCCACGCCTCGCCAGCAAATTGTAATTTTTTTTTCAGACACTTTGGCATTTAGCTCCCCTCTCGCTTATTTCTGTTTTGGTCGCGAAAAAAAAGTTTTTGCCGGAAGTTGGGAGCGCTTCCGCTTCCGTTTTTGATTAAAGTTGAGTGGCCGGAATTTACTGGGGCATCTAGGCGGAATATTAATATAGAAGTTTTTACTAAAAGTATGGGCTTCTGTTTTTTTTTTTTTTGCACTTTAGTTGGGTTTGCTTTCTTTTTTTCCCATTTAGGGTGTATTATGGGGTGTGCGTGTAGGTTGGTGTGAGCATATGTTGGCATATGTTGTCAGTCACCTGCTGCGATGCCCTGTGGCCATGAATATGTGCATATATTTCCACATTATTTCTTCTAATGAGTCCCTTCTCCCCTTTAAGGAAAACCAGATGCGAAGTTGTCATCTGCTTTCAGGATTACTCATACGCCATGTTGGCTCTGCATGAAAAGCGCGACTAATTAGAGGAATATTATTTTCAAAATGGAATCAACAAAAAAATATGCTTCGAAAATCTGAAAGCTGTCAAAAGACATTTTTCTTATCTGCTTAAAAGTACTTTTAAAAATTCGTAAAAAACGTAACTGAAAACCAAGTATTGAGAGCAGAA